CATAAGACAACAAGAAATGACATCAATTATGTTAACAGTAGCATTCATTTTTTTTTCAAAGTCCACTATGTTCAACTGACAGTAAACCTTTTCTATTCCTGAAAATTCATCATCTGTCTGTACAAGTATCATGGATGAAGCAAAATAAGACTTATTTATAAGAAAAACAGCTAATCTCGAAGTCTGCCACCTACAGACACAGCTTTAAGAAAACATACAGTGCAAGCTGGCTACAAAACTGCCCATTTTGGGGAACAAGTGGTTGAGAAACCTGGGCTGCATTTCTGGTGCACAAGGACGTTTTTTGCATGGTCATTCATGGCAACCTAAAGGATCACAACTTCTAAAAATGCAGAGTAGTGCCAGTAAAAAAATGAAACAGAGCACACCAAAAGCCAGTTGCAAAACCACCTTAAACAGTGATGCATGCAAGCTGCAAAGATAACAAATTTGTACACTCATTCCTTCCCTGTAATGCATAATCCTATGATCTTGATAAAATGTCAGACAACACAATTCTATTTTGATCTGAAGTCTGTATCCCTCTATTATCTGCACATCATATCCTAATATTTCACATTCAGTGTTCTACATATACTTTCCAAAGACCTTTACATACAAAAGCTGCTTCTAAATCTGAAATAACTGACTTGCATAAATTTTTGGTTCCCATTATTTTAGTACATTGCATCTAACTGAATGCTGCATAGTTTGCTTGTCTATCTTGCTCAATATACAGAAAACTATCATGTATTGCATTAAAATAATTGAGTATCTGTAACTATACTTGGAATACATTTTGATGAGTCCTCAGCCAAAAACTAAAGAAATGATATAATACACATTCTCATATATGATACGGAAATTTTTTAAAGAAATGAAACATAAAAATTTACATAGCCAAAATATTGGAGTCTTTCTAAGATGACGCAGTATCTGAAACTGGGTGTATAACATGAATGTAGATATCTTTATCTTAATTTTCAATTTACTTAGCACTCCAGCTCTTTGGAGTATGGTACAATGACCAAACGTTAACACAGAGTATAAAAATGACAATGATGTAATTCACTATAGGGCACCTGTAGTTGTCTAAGCTGCGCCTTGTAGATCTACCTAGAAGAACTAGTTACTCAAGGTTGAAAATTTGGTTTTCTATGTCAGAGGCTGACAGTGAGCTTAATTGCTGTAAGCTCTTGGAAAGTGACCAGGGTTCTTAAATGGGCAGGCATTACATGCTGCAAAAATATGCATTTCCAAACTCTTGGCTGAAAGATATCTTTGTTCAAAAACTGGCCCAGTATACAGTAGACATATTTACTATACTGCTGAAACCTCCCTTTACTGCCGCTAAGCTTTGCTTTATGAAGAAGCTAGATTTCTCACTTCACATAGACAAGCATGCTTACAATATTTATGCTCCTACAAATGGACAGAATGAAATCTAAGGAAAAGCTTAATATCTGAATAGACGCTGTCCTTTCAATAAAGAGCAAATTCCACATTCTGGTTTTCCTAAGGATAGCTTTTATACAATTTTTGGTGCTTGGCATTTTGCATCTGAAGTGTGCACAAGTCCATCTTCTGCAGCTGCCACCTTTAAAATATACGGAAGGAAGCCCCATCTCCAGTTTATAGGTTTCCCTTGGCCAAGATGCCTTTCGTGGTGCCACCATAGGAGCCAACTCCTAGGGGCTGAGGTCCATTTGCCCCCCCCCCAAGTTGATGGGCTTTACCATTCAAATGGTATGTGTGTGTGTGCCATGACTTGTGATCAATTACACAGAGTGGGGCTTCCCTGCCCCCCCAATATTATATTCAAGTTGACACTCCTGGATGCCACTGAGTAGGAATTGCTTCCTTGCTGCAATCTACACTGCCCAACAGCTCAGCTTCTTGGTCTATGCCAATCTGTACTCAGCTTAGAATGAATGAACAGAGACCAATGAATACACTGCCAGCCAATGCAAAATTAAAAGGCAGAATAAAAAAATGAGTAAGTCATTTCCTCCCATCAGTGATGCCATGGACACTCTCCAGTAGGAATCCGAGGCTGTTGCAAAACAATTTTACAAATGGCAATCTTAATGTCAATAAAGGAACAGCTTGATGGAGAATTGTGTTCAAAGCAATCTTCCGCTGTGGTTGGAGTACCGAGTTCTGCCAAATAGGCACACAATCCCCTGGGAAGATCTCTGCATCCCTTCCAACATATTGTGTGCATATGTGTGTTCCTGTTGTAAATCATTTTTTAAAAAAGAAATGTCTACAGAATCTGAAAGTAGTTAATGGATTGCAACCAAATTATTTCTAGTGGGCAATGCATTTGATCCTCAAATTGTTAAGTGTCCGCTACTTAAATGTTATCTTATCTACAATACTTTTTTATAGTAAGCACATACAGCTGCTGGGAGGGATCATTAGACAATATGGAGTGCAGTGTCAACAATATGCTGAGCACTCTCAGCTTTATTTTTCTTTCAAACTGGATCTGGGAGCTGAAGTTAGGTGCTTGTGCAAATGTTATGGGCTGGATGAAGGAGAACTTCAGATGAATCCAGATAAGACAGAAGCGATTATATCCACTTGAACAGCTAGAAAACTGATCCACCATTGTCAATTATGGGTGGCTTTCAATGCTACTTTTTAAAGGCACATCTGACATCTGTGCACATTGGTATTCTATGATTCATTCAGACACATTGCTGGAATGTTAACAAGCATACCAATTTCCCAGCGAAGGTGCAAGCTCAGCAAACCACTTGAAAAGGAGAAAGTATATCAACTAGACAACTGGTGCCTGATTTAGGGCATATTTACACTGAATAAAAAAGCCAAATTGATTAGCAAAATTTCCTTTAAAAATCAAATCTCCCAATTTCCATTCTAATTTCTAACTGACAAGATGAAATTTAAGTTAATCACAATAACTAATATGCTCTGCTGGCTTCACTGAAAGTGAAACAGTGACTGACAGTGTGATCTTGTGCACAGCTACAAAGAAGCTTCAATTGAGATCAGCAGTGCTTACTCCTTGGTAAGTGTACCTAGAATTGCAGACTAACTGTAGCTGGATTGGTAACTCAGGCAGAAATGTGGTTTACACTTGATTATTTACCATCCCTCCTAAAAAGATGTGCATGATAATGCACACTTTTCTCTGTACTAAATTACAGAACGCAGCAGCAGCAACAACAGTACTAAGCCCTGTTGAACTGAGCAAGATGTATGGACAAGTACAGTGATATATGATCCAATACAATTGCATCTGAAACACTTGTGCTGTTTTGCATGGATCTTAAGATGAATATGCAATCAGTAAAAATTAAAAAGTAACTGATGCTGCAGAGCATTAAGCACTCCAACTTATCTAGTTTGTGTTTCTGTGGTCACTTAACACATGCCTCTTTGTTTATATGACATTCTGAGCAAACTATGTAGCTGCTATTCTATACATGCCTAATTGGGAGTAGGTCCTATTGAGGTCAGTAGGACTTACTTCTGAATGAGCATGCCTAGGACGGCATTGTGCATGTCTTAAATCACATCGGCTTATAACATTTTATGCAATAATAGTTCTACAAGCTAAAAACATGTTTTTATATAGAAACAGCTATCCAAAAATGGGAGGAATTTCATAGCCAATCTTAAAGAGATCAAGAGAATCTGGAGGCTTAAATATATAGCTGGCAATGGGCCAGGCCCATTAAGTACAGTTGGGAGGATTTTAATTCATGCTCTTATATAACTAATAGCCATCCTATTTGATTAGTCTGTGATTCTTTTAAAAAGACACACACAGAGGGATCTGCCTCTGTTAAATGGGATGGAAATGTCTTCAGAATTGTTATAGTGAGAGTTAGTCATTTAAAAAAACCACTTTACATGACTTAGCTAGATCACAACCATGGTAAAAGGAAGCAAGAACTGACTGAGCTTCTCCCCTCCCTTATTCTTTTTAAAAGCCATAGTCTTACCACTTAGAGCGAAATCTTTCCCTATCATTTTTTCTCCATCAATTCCATTTCTCTCACCCCACCCCACCCTGTTCCCCTCTCCACTGAATCTGTTCCTGGCAACGCCACATCCCCGTATGTTGGTCTTGGCTGGCAAAGTATACCCACAGCTGCTATATCCTTGCACCTCCCAAAGAGTTCACCTGCAAGGGCTCTGCTGCCTTCATCCTGGCTCCTAGTCGTTTCATTCAGCCAGTGCAGCAGCAGTAACAGCAAGAACTCCTTCAGACCGGCAAACAGTTCCTTCCCTGCAAGAGCTGCAGCTGCTACTGCTGCCGCCTGGACCAGCCAGAAGGGGATGCCGGGGCAGCAGCGTGGAAAGAATGCTTCAGCATAGCTAAAAACAAAACACTTCAGTGTGGCATCCTGAAAGCACTCAAGCACTAACTAGTGGCAAGCTGTCAAAGCTGACCCGAAAGCTTTTTCCACCCGCTCAGCAAAGGAGAGCTAGTTCTGCACTGGGCTTCCTGGTGATAATGGTTAAATAAATGGTTGCCTGGTGTGTGTGTGTGTGTGTGTGTGTGTGTGTGTGTACATTAATTCATTCATCTTATAACTGTTAACTCATGAATACAAGGAAGGATTAGGCATGCAAGGACATCTTGATAAAAGTTACAAAATGCACCAAACTTTAGGAAACTTTTCAAAGGCAAAATAAACAAAAGAAGGAAAGGTGGAGCAAAGGAAAGAAAAGGAAAACAAAACACAGAGAAAGCGGCAGATCTTCTGACAACTTTACAATGAAAAGTAAAAAAATAGTCAAGGCTCTCCAACTATACACCACCAGCCTCCCCCTTTCCCCACTACTCACAGAATTATAATCATGAGTCCCCTGATTATGCACATTCTATTACACATTATATAAGCCTAGAAGAATGTGAAAAAGCCATTACCAACAATCAATTCATTGTACGACGTGTTCATGCACTCACACACACAGAGCCACACTCACTCACTCAACATTTCCTACCGTTCTAATTGCAGTTGGGATTCCTGATTCATCGACTGGGCCAATCCCTGCATAATGTGGTGCTTTAATGACTGTGACTTTCTTCTCTTCCTCTGAAGTTCTGCAGATTGGTATTGTGCTGGTGGTACTGCTGCCGCCAACAGAATGAGCATGCTGTGAGTATGTCTCTGCGGATTCTACAAAGATAATGTTAACACAGCGCTGTATAACCATTTAATTAACATGCTTCACCTCCGTTATCAGACTAGGCACTTTCAATGTGGCAAATTGACACAGGATTAGGAAGATGTTTCATGATACTAGATATTGGATGAATTGGGCCTCTGTGCTCAGGGGGACTCAAACTCCGTAGCACACCACATGCTCTGTTTCTTTCTAGAAGGTTCCAGATGTGTAGTGTCTAGGTTTTGTTTTTTTTTAGAATCTTTAGAAACTTTTTGACCCACCTCATTCCACCCTTTCCATTTCCCTGCTATTTTATAAGGGGCAAACATTTATTTCTGCTATATTATGAGTTCAGTTATTGGGAACGTATTGCTCAGATGGTAACAGGATGCAGCACCTATATCTTTGCAGTGTCCCTCACATGCCCCCATAAAATGCCTTGGGATGACAATGATTCTGGGCAATTTAGGGGTTAAGAAAATGGTGGCTGGGTCACTGACAGCCACTGGCACCAACTCCAGGGGGCCCTGTGTGCCTGCAAACTTTTCACTGTGGGTGCCTGGCCTGCAGCACTGACTGGGCCAGGGTCTCGCCCTCCGTTGCAGGGCTTCTGTCAGGGCCCACTGTGGGCGTGGACATGCACACATGCTCTGCCACCACTGCGGAGGCACAGAAGTGGCACCAGAAGGCAGCTGTGGCACACAGAGCAATGTGACAGCTTCACGTTGCGGCACACAGTGCTAAGCACCCACGGTCTGGGACCCAAATCAGCACCTCTGCTGACAGCAAAGCTATGATGCTTCTACTGCTGCTGCCAGCAATATAAAAGCGACACATACACACACACCCCTGCCACCATAGCTTAAGAAAATGTTTTTCTGTTGCACACATTATCCCCTGCAGAAATCAGAGAAATATCCTCCAGATTCATGGCTTACAAAGGGAGCAGTGTCATTCAGAGGGACATTTCATTGCAGCCCTAGTATTATTCAGCGTACACCATTTAAATTTTTAAATAAATGTATGTTATTTGTTTATGTGGGAACTCACCCATTGTTCTGCTCTGTTGCAGGAGAACCAGGCTTGAATTGAGTGAGACTGGTGGGGAATATCCTGAAGGGGAAAAAGGCCTTTGAAAGTGGCTCATGGGACTGGTTGCTGAACTAGAGTTCCCATTCACTGTTATCTGAGCCTGAGAGGTAGAAAAGAAACAAAGCAAAAATCACATCCCAGTAAATTAATTGTAGAACTGTCCAAATCCTACCATCCATGTACAAAAGGTGAAGAATGAATTGCTATCCCTATAGCAAAGATCCAGCTGTCAGATTCTTAGCTATAACAGTCCGTGTTCAGGATTATGTCCCCTATGCAACCCTGTTCTATTCCCCCTACAAAAAACAGCATGCTGGAATTATGGGAAGGCATCAAGAAAGTCTTAGGTCAGAGCAGTACAAAATGAAAGAGACAGTAAAACTTGCACTTCCAATTTTCTCTTGAAGGCAATTTTCTCTTCCATTTCCAAGTGCTTAAATCTTATTGCCATTCACTTGAAGACAAAGAAAAAAGATGCCAGCAAGAAGAGCTGAAATCTCCTTCAAATATTGTGGCCAGAATCTGGATGCAAACTAGATGTGATGGTCAAGTTTAACCCACAGCATGTTCTAAAAATATAATACATGGCCAAAGTAATCCATTGTTATGTGATTAACATCCTAGGCAATAAATTCTGTCACACATCTTGCCTTTTTTGTGGGGGGGGGGGGAATAAGTCACTGCCAATATTTGGGCATGCTTTGATTTATTAAGATCACACAGCTGCTGTTTTTCAAACCACTTAACATGCTGCTTTATAAAATGAGAATAATGAGTAGCACTGAAAAGCTTTTTTTCAGTGCATGTCTACTCAGAAATCAACCCCATTAACTTCAATGGGGTTTGGCTCATTTGTAAGTATGTGTGGGATTGCAGCCTTAGAAACCAATGGCTATAGATGAAGAAACCTTACTTTGTGTGATGCACCAACTTGCTTTTCCTTAGCACTTCTGGTTGACTTGTAACCTTACGTATAGCAAGGAGGTCACATCCTGAAGTCATGCAAACTTTCTAACCTTGTACCCATTTACTTGGATTAAAATCCCACTGAGTTCTAGCATTCTGGTTAAGTATACCAAAGATTCCATTTAAATTTGTCATGTTAACCCTTACAGCATGATACTGGATTATAACGGCTTTTCATTCAGAAAAGTCTTCTAGAATCTACTGTTTTATTATCTTGTAATACAGTGACCTATAAAATATTAGGCATATTCCAGCTTGTTTTAAGAGTGTGACCTGTATCTATAGGATGCTTCATTTGAAATTAACTAAGCAAGTTGCTGATTTTAACTCATATATGTATATATCACATGTATTAGACTTTTGAGTTATACATAAGGACAAGTGTATTTAAACAGTTGAAGGGAAGTGACTTAAGAATAAAGAAAATGCATTCCTGGAAAAGAAAAGAAACAATACATTTTGTAGCAAGTGAATGTCAGAATATCCATAGTTTTATTCCTGGAAGACAAGAATGCTTAAGAGGGGAAATGTTAGTTGGAGAAAAAGTGAGAATCGGAAGCAAACTCATGCAGTCAGTGATCACTGCTAATGGAAGATAATGTTGGGTTAAGTGCTATACTAATCAAACACCTTAAAATCAATTTTTGAGGCATACATCATACATCATAGTGGTCGCTCAGTAGTTTCTGACAGGTTTGTAGTTGTACTAACATTCTGTTTGAGCATTCTATCTGCACGTGCATTTATCTAACATCTTAAGATAGTTCTGCCTATATTCCAAATGTCGCTTCCTTTTTAGCACAGTGAGACTGAAGAATAACCATTACAAGATTCGTTCAGGGCTTAATTTGAGCAAGAGTTTTCCAGAGCAAATCCCCAAAGAGTCTGTTGTACTGCCAATGCTTGGCACTGGAACATAAGGAGCAGAGATAAATGAGACAGCATCTCCAAGAATGTGCAAAGTACTTTTCCCTCACTACTATGAGCTGCTTTGACTGTGGCACTGTTCCAAAATGAACTGTGTGTGTCTTGTGTTTCCTGTTTCATTGCACCACCATTACAACCAAAAGACAACTTCTACAATTCTCACACTTCGGTGGGATCCATGCTCCCTGATAGGCTGCTTGTGTATTTCTTAGGTAGGAAAGATCCAAATGGGGTGAGAGGATGTTGTGGAGAAACAAGGAACACAGGTGACTTGTGCTTCTTGTTCACCACACCTCCACGCACAAACCTACCTGTCTCCACAACCTGCCTCTAAATTGATGGATCAGAACTTCTAGGTTAAAATTAAAACAGGTATTGTAAAAAATACTATTATACCTCAGCCTTAACTATGAATACTTTAATTATCAGTAATGTTACAATTTAAAAAAAATTAAAATAATACTATCATGTATTTTTTAAAATCCAGAATAAAACAATAATTATTAAACACAATATAATTAAAAAGCAGTGCAGCAGATAAAATAATGTTCAGCCTTTTTAAGGCCTGGGAAAATGAGGATAATAAATATTTATCTAAGAGCTGATACTTCCCTGAGGAAGAGTATTCCAAACAGTACTTGTTATGTAGCGAGCGATTCAGGAGCACTTCAGGCTTCTGACTAATTATCCAAGGAAGCTAGGAAGCTACCATCACATCTATCACAGGAAGCATCACTCCTCCAGAGTACTGGGATTATTGATCAGCAAATTTAGATTGCGTTTACATGTAGCGAGTTTGAAATGTTCCCATTAAGGAAAGTTATAGAACCTGAGTAGGCCATTTCCAGCATGCTCATCAAGAAGGGACAAGAACAAGGATTATCTCTTTTCCACTTTGATAGCCTGGTTGAACAAAATGGGAGGAGGAAAGAGGAAGGATAATTACATGAGCTCTGGCAGCAGTGGTGGTTAAGGTGGTGGCATCTGACACAGCAGACATCTGGCTCAAAGTTGGGGAAGGTGTTTCAGAACAGTCAGTAGTATCATAGTTACAGCTCTGGAGATCATCTAGAATGGCAGTGGAGGACTCGCTCACCGGGCGAGAGGAGTACTCACTCATGGCTGAGTTGGTCATAACAGAGGCCGTTTCAGTCCTGTGGATAGTACTGTCAGGAGCTAGGAAAGGGTATGCGTATGAAAAACGTGAAAGGGCCAGGGTTCTATACAAGCGTGACGGCCAAAAATCATCCCGTGTTGGCAAAATAAATGATGTTACGGGGTGGGTGCCACTGTCGGGTGAGAGAGAGGGTCTGTTAATCGATACCAATGAAGGAGGTGGTGAAGGAGGCAGTGGCGAAGCTTCTGCTGAAGTTTGTCTGTGTGTCTGTGAAGCATTTACCTCCATCACATTGGCAGTTACTTTCTGGTTTCCAAGCTGAGTTTTGAGAAACAAAAGAACAAATAAACATATTACTAAATTTATTTATTTTTTACTCTTTTCCTTACCCTTTTGTTGTGTACAAGAGTTCTCAGAAATCAAAAAAAACCCACACACCATGTGTTTTCTAGCAGTCTTAGGAAGTACACAGTCAAATAGATTAGGAAATAAACAAACTCTGTATTACAAAAGAAAACACAGTAAGTGAATTTGTCAAGTATTAATGGGAAGCAATGCCAGAAACTACAGTGTGTTGGAATAAGCCTGATGTTCATTTCCAAGATTTTAATTGTTTGACGTTTAATTCAAATAGTGTTCCCCCTGTTTATCTGCCACAAACCTTAAAAGGTTTTTCTTCCCATATGCAAAATTGGAATTGCCCTTTGGGCCAATAGTAAGCTTAATTCTCAGCCATATCACTATTTCCATAGTAGTAACCAAAGTGTCTCATTTTAGGACTAGGCAGCTGACATTCTCAGCCAATGGTAAAATGTATCACAATAATAGCTGCTTTCACACACTATGCATAAGAAGGGGGCTCTAGACAATGAAGCGAAAGCAGGACGAAATCCTGGTTATGCCCCATTTCATAAGTATCCCTGCCCACCTGCTCAAATATCCATGCACCACGTGCAACAAACCCATTTTATGCCAGAGTGACTTTTTCCAATAAGGGAAGTGACAGAGAAATGCACTTGAAAGTGTGGGGTAACATTTGCTTAAGGCAACAATATCTAGCCTCCCTAAAGACAAAAACAAATCAGAAAGCATAGATAGCTAGCATTGTCCGTTTTCCCTATAAACAAATTGGGATCAACACTCAGTAGCGCTCAATAAACCAGGCATCTGAAATGACCTAAAACCTGGACCTCGGTACACTTTAACAGGAAGTTCTCTTGTACAAAGTGAGTTTTTGTAAAACTTTTTTTACAATTAAAAGAAATCACAACTTCAAATTTGCAAATGTTTGTGCTGCAGGTTGAACTTTTTTTAAAAAATAAAATGTAAAGTCTAGAATTCACAAGACAGCAGACTGATGACCCTGAGCTGATTGACTAAAAATGAGGAAACTATTCTTTTTAAGAATGAAAGCAAAATAATGGTACCTAAATAGCAAAAAGAGCGAGTGGGGTTGGGAAGTGAAGCTACCATGGAAAATGCTCACTAGGTAAAAACCCAAGACTGATGTAGTCACCATTGCTACTCAAAAGGTCCACAGAAAGTTAATATACAACCTTGAAGGCAGCTGGGTAGACAACTCAGAGGAAACTTGATGTTCCTAAGCAGTTAATATAGCAAAATATTTTAAATATAAACAAAAAATAAATATGTAACTTCCAGGTCTAATTTATAAAATCTTTAACAGTGTCAACAGGAACATAATGGGAGGGGTGTTTCCAGCTTCCCCACTATAAAAAGCTGCTGTAGGGAAGGGAATGAAGAACATCATGGGAATGATATTTCTTGGATTAAGGTGAAACTGTTAATTATTTTCTCTTTTGGATGCTGCATGTTTAAGTAATCTTGTTATATTTATAGCTCTGAATTTTTTGGGGGTATGTTATAATAGTTGCTATTGTTTTGCTGTGCTGTTACGAAACACTTTTTGTAGCGTTTGAAATGTATCCCTGCTTACTTTGTTGCAAGCCACTTTGAGCATGGCTTTTGTGTGTGTGTGTGTGAAAAAGCAGCATACAAATAAAATGAGTGAATGAACAGTGAGCATGATCTAAAGCCATGTTTCCTCTATGAAGTGAAATTTATTTTTCAAGCTGAGAAATTGTCCACTGAATATGCAGATTTTAGAAAACAACAGCACATTCAATTGTGAGTATGAGGCCCGGGAACTGAGAGCAATGTATATGGAAGTCATGGAATTCCGGATAGCACACTCTCAAATTAGAAATATCTTACAATGGAAACTGGTAAATGTGAAGTTGACAAATATTGAGGGTTTGCAGGGGACAACACATAAGCTTAGGTTTCTTCATACTTCCTTTTCTTTTAATGTACTATAGGCAGGGTGGCAAACATATCAGTGATAAAATAATATGATTAAAACCATATCATTGCACCCTCACGGCCAAGGACCCATGACTGGAGGCTGCAGTTGGTGGAAGACAACTGGTCCAACACACTGGCCCCATGCAAGGCAAGACTGGTTTTGCCCCAATCTTCCTTTCTAGATATTCATTGCTCAGACTTTGACCTGACCTTGACCTGCTGCTGATCCTTCCCAGAAAGGTCTTGCACGCCTTATGATAGGCTGTTTCCTACCACCACTTGTTTAAACTTCTTCTGCATGCACCTGAATTCCACAGGAAGTATATATATACTGTGTATTGATTTGTAATCATTCTCCAATAAAAAATATTAGTCTGATAAGAAGTGTTCCCTCACATGCTACATTTTTTAGAAAAGTAGTTGTAAAGCACCACAAGAACTTATCTGTTGTAAAAATTCCTTCTCAATTCCTTATAACATGGTGAAAACCGATACCCTACAGCTCTTTAACGTTGTTTTCTAGGATATAGGGAACGAGGGGCATATTCATAAGGAATTATCACCATGTAAGAATGGAATATAAAAGTCACTTTGCTGTAATTTTTCCATGTCAAAAAAACAACATGTTCATGAGACCGCTATTTGTGAAATGGAAATTCCCCCCAAAAAACTTCAATCCAAACACGTTGTGACTACCCTTAGTTTTTTGGACAGTGGCCTTGGATAAGCACACTGTGCTTATTACAAATCTCTGCACCGAGATATATTTCCCAGATTGCTTGTATAGGCAATTAACATTAAGTATGTAGATACAGGTATATTATAAGCGCTGTGGACAATTTCAGATTTTAATAAGAGGTTCATGAATAGGTGCATGAT